TGCGTGCCGTCATCATCTGTCCAGCGTCCACCCATACCGTGTTGGTGTCCAGTCCGAGCCTGACTGTTGTTCATCTTTTCTATCTAACCAACCTAAAAAGGTGTGCTAATTAGTGTTAATTGGTGCTGCTGTAGGTCCGCATTGCGGACGGAAGCAAGGTCCTCTTCACGGCTGGCGGCCCGACATGCTGTGAACGGCGTCTCTTCACAGCGCGCGGTTGTGAACAGGCGGTCATCAAGGCGAACCACACACACACACAGTCGACCAGCTGAAGCGGCACGTTGCTTCTCTCGCGCCCGGTACTGCCAACAGGGCCGACACGCTCAGCAGAGGTGGCTTTCGCGCCGTTAGCTTCTCCACACGCACCTCCTCTTCACGCTCCTCGCCGCAGGCGTCGCCTTCTCGCTCAAGGGAGGTTTCCCGCCAAGGCCGCTCAAGGAGGGGGAGGCTTGTGGCCCACCCTTTTAGTTACACTTCTAGGGTACCCAGGCTCCCAGCCGGTGTGCGGGGAGCGAACCTTAACGATCGCCCAGAAGCTTTCTGAGCGAACCAATCGGGCCGGGATCATCAGCATATGTCCCCTCCACAACATCGTGGGCGTTTGAGCCGTATTTGAGGAGCACCGCGACTCTGAAGTTCGGCCGGGTGGTCTGCAGACCCCCCCCCCGGAGCAGCAGAGGCTCCGTGGGGTCAAAAAGTCGACGCTGGGAGTCGCACTCGTCAAGCCATCGCAGCACCACGCGGTTCGCACGTACCGCCCACATCCCCTCCACCGCTGAGAAGGCGCAGATCGACCGCCGGGCCGCGTAGTTGTCGTTAAGGAGCGGTTTTTGGAGCCGTACGAAGAGGTCCCAGACGGGCGAACATGCGGTTTTTCGACGACCACACGCGATGTGGTATCTGCTTTTTGCTAAAAACGGGCCGCCTAGTGCAGCATCACTAGTACAACACGCAACCACACTGAGAGCTCCACACTAGCCGGTATAGGCGAGAACCGACGGCGTCACGGTCGCCGGAGTGGACGCACTGCACACACACTGTGACCGTGTCGACGGTGTGACAGTGAGCTGACACAATCGTCGGCGCCGCGCTATCGCGGCGCCCCGCAGTCAACACGCCTCAGGCACACCCCTGAACGCGCCATGGGCGCGCAGATACACCGCAGCGCCGTGGAGAATCCACACCTGGCCGGTCCCAGGCCCCGTCCTGGGCCTCCAGACGGCCGAAGATCGGCGTTCGGGCGGGATGAACTTGTCGGAAATGGAGCTAACTTGGCGCGGCTCGCCGCTCGCGGTACCGGGTGAGCCTGGATAGGGCAAAATCTGGGGTGAATACGAGGGACAGAGGTCGCAAGTTTGTCGCGCAAGTTTGCGCGGCGTGGCGCTGCCCCGCTGCCGAGGGCGCCACCAACCCGTGGCGGCGGCATTTCCAGCCCAAATTGGGCGTTCCGTGTGCCTTGCCGGCGAGAGTGGACGGGCCGTGCATCGTGGGGGGGGGGGTGAGTGGGAGGGAGGTGGTCGTGTGCCTACTTTGTCGGCCGCGCGCGAGGAAAATACTGGGTGTGAGGCGCGCAGGAGGCGAGGGTGGGCGCGCCGGCGGTCGAGCCACCGAACAATTCGACGTGGCGCAGCTCCGCGCCGGCGGGGACGACCGAGCACATGATGTCGGCGGCGGTTACGCGACGAGGGAGAGCCGCAGGAGCCCTCTGTGGAGCAGGCGCGCGAAAGCAGCGATGAGTGGCGCTTCGATCAGCCACCTATGGGCGGTCATCGGGGTGACGTCACACCTCAGCGAGCTGGATCCGGGAAGGGCATGGGGTCACGCGGGCCCTGTCTGCAGCAGCAGTGCTAACTAAAACGACAAAATTCCGGATGGACCGGAGACTGTCTACTCTTTCGGCGCACCGTCCTCGACCGCGCTGAAAAGCTGGCTGGTGGTCGCCGCAGCGCGTCAGCGCCACTCCGACTGGTTGGGCACCTCGGCTGGGTCCATCAGCAAGAGGCCCGCGCCGTCGGGCGGCCCCGGGAGCGCATGATGCCCCTGCGAGAGCAGCGCCGCCGAGATCGCGCTGGTTTGGCACGAAAAACACAAAGGGGGGGGTCAAGTATGGTACCTTAGACGTGGTGCTTCGCGGCGGCGTACAGTACTACGAGGGCGAGCGAGGCGCGGAGCGGATGGTGCGCGTTGAGTTTGCCAACGGCAACGTGCAGCACTACGAGGGCGACAAAGGCGCGGAGCGTTGTGTGCACTAGGCGGGCGCGAGCGAAGACAAGGCGGCGTACAAGGCCATGCGGGTCGCATAGCTGAGGAGCGCCTCGGCTTGGCCACCACCGGCGTCAAAGCAGCGCTCGTGGCGCGCCTCCTGGCGGCCTGAGCCTGTACTCCCGGGTTGAACTCTCGCGCGCATATACGGTCGCATGAATGAAATCGCTCCAGCCGCAGCGGCACTGCAGCGCGAGGGCGAGCGAGGCAGCGAGCCAGCGACCTGTACCATGAGCATGTGACTCACCGGAAGTGTTAGACACACCACACACGAAACGGGAAATTCTGTCCCTTTTCGCAACCTGGGCGCCCCCCCCCCCCCCCCCTCCCCCGGCTCCACGGTGCCCCTCGATTGATTGATTGATGGGAAGGCGGCCGCTACAAGACTGGCAGGTGCAAGAACCACAAGTGCTGGCGCGAGGCGATTCGGTTCGTCGCAGTCAGCCAGGAGGGGGCTGGCGCCTTCCTGAATGCGATCCCCATGCGGGATGATATGAAGATGGAGACGTTGGCGATGCGCATTACAGTTCAGCGCCGCCTCGGCCTCCCGCTCGATGTTGCCTGCCAGGCGGTGGAGGCGGGCAAGAAGGCGCCAAACGGCAAGCCGCACGAAGAACTCGGCGATGCCGCAATGGTCAACCCGCGTGCGAAGCACGCGACACGACACAAATACCTGCTCAAACGACTCGTCAAGACCCTTCGCTCGGCGTGGGGCATGCTCATCGAGATGGAGCCGACTGCACACCTCAGTTACAGTAACCCAAAACAACCTGACGTGGCGGCGGCGAACATCGGCAAAGGGCATGTACGCCTCGTTGGCGACTTGAAACTGACGAGCTCGCTTGCGTGCAAGGGTGGCGATCGGCTCGGCTGGAAGGGGGCTTTTGTCGCCTTCGGCAACACCGAGCGGGCGCTGCTCGACTTAGTGTTAGGGCATGCTGCATGGCCGCGGCCGGGAGGGGGGGGGGAGGGGGGGAGGGAGGCGGAGGATGCAGAGGCGGAGGCGGCGGCGGCGGAAGAGGAGGAGGGGGAGAGCGAGGGGGAGGCGGAGGCGGGGGCACCTGTGACGGCCCGCTACGAGAAGGGCGAGTACCGGTTCGCGCGGGAGAAGAATTGCGACCTGCGTTTGCTCGACTTCGAGACGTTCGGCGGCTTCGGGGACGGCGTCCGCAGAATTCTTCGGCAGGCGGCGGACCAGCTGAGTAACAAACTTTCGCACGCTCAGCACCTCGATGAGGTCACATGGACCACCAAGAACTGGCACGGGCTGCAGATGCAGCGCTTGTCTGTCGTTCTCCACACCGCCGTGGCGTGGCAGACGGTGAACGAGCTAGCGTGCGGGGACAGCGGCATTGTGCACGGAGCTAAGTGCATTGCCGTTCTTAACGGAGTCGCTTAGGCGGCTCCGGTGGTGTGCCGGTGATTGTACTAGCACGCGCCAGTTCGCACCTGTGTCGAGCCTGTGTGCTGTGAGAGAGAGTTGTGGTATTTGGAGCACTTGGAGTGCAGTCGGCAACCTCACATCCAGGGCCGGTGAGCTGAGAAGCGCATCCAGCGGGCCGGATGATCGGTATCGGGTTACGGGCTAGAGAGCCCTAGCCCCGGGGGTGCGCGTTCGCAGGGCAAGGGCCTTAAAGTAAACACGGGTCTCCGAGGGTTAGCTCCGCGCTCCAGGTTTCCCCTAGCAGCAGAACGCCCCCTCTACTCGGAGCTAGTAAACACTCGACTAACATGTTTTCTTTCTTTTTCTACTCGGAGCCAGTGAGACGAGAATACGCACATCTTACAAGAATACATACTGCCCCCACGGAGTACCTGCACTACTCGACGATAATACAAGAAGAATACGCAGCTTGGAAGTTGCAGACGCCTATAAAGAAAAAACAGCCAGCTAAATTTCGGCGGCTAAAAAGCAAAGGACGGGCGCTTTTGATCGGCAAAGCAAAGTTGGAGTAACGGCGACCGCGTCGCCACAATGCCAGTCGCCTGTCGAGCAGCCTTGGCGGCGCGCATGCGCCGCAGGGTTGACCGACAGCCGCGCGCCTCGAGCCTCTCGCTCCACTCGCGGCACGACGCGCCCCGCGCGCCGGTCAGCGCAGCAGGAGTATTGCGACATGCTGCACAACGCCAGGGACAGCACTGAGAAGCTGGCGCCAGTCGCCCACCAGCATGTCTCAGCACCGGGTGAGGGAGCATGCTGCGCACGCTGAAGCGGCACGAGGTCACCACCAATCAGGCCCTCACGCCACTGCACGGCCGCCCTCGAGCACCAGCAGCCGCGCTGCGCCATGCTCAAGCTCGGGAGGCCACCCTGCTTCTCGCAGCTTTCTGCAGCGCAGCGAGCGAGCAGCGCCGCACCAGGCGGACCCATGGCGTGTTCAGCCAGCCGTGAGGCGGAGGCAGGCCGAGTGAGCGCGAGCCGCGCGGGAGGCCATGCCCCGCGCACCCGCGAGCGAGTGGCACGAAAGAGTGTCGCGCATGCTTTTGCGTAGCTGAAGTTTTTTTTTTAAATTCTTTCTTTCTGCACCTTTCTGTAGCGCAATGTCGCGCTCGCCCCGCGCACGCACCGACGCCACCGCCCCGCCCACGGACTGGCTGGGCGAGCTGCCGCCGGAGCTGCACCTCCGCATCCTCGAGGGCGTCGACGACTTCTCCGACTGCGCCGCCTTCAGCCTCGCGTCGCCGCGCCTCGGCCTCCTCGCCCTACGCAGCGGCCTGGCGCGCTTCAAGGACCCCCTCTTCGCCGTGGCGATGCGGCTGCTGCTCATCCAGCGCCGCTGCGCCGACCCCTTCGTCACGGTGTCGGCAACGCTCAATGAGGTTATCCTCCGCAGATACGCCGCCGACCGCCGCGCCAGCGCCGACCACTTCCCGTGGCTTGCGAGGGTGAGCCCGGCGCTCCGCCTCTCGTCGGAAGTGACGGGTGCTGGCGCGAGTCGCGCCGAATACTGGAGACTGCGGCGTGGCGATGAGAATGGCGCGAGTCTGCGGCGACGCCTCTTGCAGTCCGGCATGGTGCAGCACTACGAGGGCGGGCGAGGCGCGGAGCGGATGGTGCGCGTCGAGCTGGCCGACGGCAACGTGCAGTACTACGAGGGTGAGAAAGGCGCGGAGCGGAAGGTGCGCGCTGAGTTTGCAAGCGGCACTGTGACGTACTACGCGGGTGGGAAACGTGCGGAGCGGAAAGTGCGCAAGGAGTTTCTCGACGGCGAGGTGCAGCACTACGAGGGCGAAAAAGGCGCGGAGCGGAAGGTGCGCGCGGAGTATCCCGACGGCACTGTGAAGTACTACGAGGGTGGGAAACGTGCGGAGCGGAGGGTGCGCACGGTGTTTGCCGACGGCGAGGTGCGGTACTACGAGGGCGAGAACGGTGCGGAGCGGATGGTGCGCGCGGTGAGTGCCGAGGGCGCCGTTGGGCACTTTGAGGGTGAGCGGGGCGCGGAGCGGATGGTGCGCAAGGAGTTTCTCGACGGCGAGGTGCAGCACTACGAGGGCGAAAAAGGCGCGGAGCGGAAGGTGCGCGCGGAGTATCCCGACGGCACTGTGAAGTACTACGAGGGTGGGAAACGTGCGGAGCGGAGGGTGCGCACGGTGTTTGCCGACGGCAAGGTGCAGTCCTTCGAGGGCGAGCGAGGTGCGGAGCGGTGTGTTTGCGTAATGCCAGGCGCGAGCGAGGACAAGGCGGCCGCAGAGAAGCGGTACAAGGCCATGCGGGTCGCAGAGCTGAGGAGCGAGTGCGAGCGCCTCGGCTTGGCCACCACCGGCGTCAAAGCAGCGCTCGTGGCGCGCCTCCTGGCGGCCTGAGCCTGTCGTACTACTGTTGAACTCTCGCGCGCATATACGCTCGTGAATGAAATCCAGCGCGAGGCAGCGACTGTACCGTGACCCATGTACGTCACTGTAAGTGTTAGGGACGCATGAAAAAGGGGAAATCCTCTCCGCTTTTCGATTAAAACAAAATAGATCCGCATCTTTGCCAGCGAGATGTCATGAGCGTGCCTCCAGTATTGATCGCGATTTCTTTCGAGCCCAGACGGCAGCGAGAGAGTCTTGCCTCGTGTGTGTGTTCTCTAGCTAGGCCCCTACTGTAAAGGCCCCACGCGCGGAGCTCGGAAGCTTTTGTCGCTAACGCTTCGTGCTCGTGGCGAGCTGTGGCGGCGGTCGAAGTTCGCCCAGATTCGTTCGTTCGGAGACGAGCGCCCGACGATAGTAACCTGTGCACAGTCGCCATTCTTGCCTGTGCACAGTCGCCTTAGCACCACCACGCCCGGCATCGTATCAGGAAGCAACACGGAGCTCCGTTGGACGTTTTCAAGATTAGCGTGTCAGAGTGAACTGGAACTAGCCCCTGCGCTCACACGCGCTCCACGAACCGCACCATCTCCCGCGTCGCCGCCTCGGCGCGCGGCACGGCGTGCCCCTCCCCGTGGCGCACCACGGCCGGGCCCTCAAACGACGCCTCCACCCGCCGGCACAAATGCGCGTGCGGCTCGGCGGCGTCGTACACGTGCAGCGACGGCCGCGCGTCCCTGCGGCCGGTCGACGGCCCGCGCCCCCGCGGCGGAGGGATGGCGGAGAGGAGGACGGCCCACCGAGCGCCGGGCACAAGCAGCGCCATCGCCGCGCCCTGGCTGAAGCCGATGACGCCGTCGAAGGCGCCGCCGCCCTCGCCGCCCTCGCCGCCCTCGCCGCCCTCGCCGCTCCCGCCCCTTCCGCCTGCGGCGAGCGCGGCGAGGCGCGCCATCGCCACGTCGAAGCCGTGCTCGTAGGCTGGCCGCCACGCCGTGTCGTACGCTCCTACAGGAAAGCTCCGAGAAGCGTCGGGGAAGCGACTTGCGCGAGAGGGCCGCCCCGCCCCGCCGCCACCCTCCTCCCGGGTCGCCCCACCACTCGTAGCCGAGGAGCCCCTCCGGCACGCCCGGCTCTGCAGGCCCGCTGGCGGCGGTCGGCGCGTCGACAAAGGTAAAGTCGTACGTCCCGGCGAGCGAGCGGGTGAGCGGGCCGAGCGAGAGGGCGAGCATGTCTCCACTCGCCCGGAAGCCGTGCAGGCAGAGCACACGCCGCCGCGACACCTCGCGAGCCAGCAGATCCGGGGCCCGACCCCTCATCGCCGCGTCGGCCGGCGGCGGCGCCGCGTCCGACAGCGCGGCCTCGCCGCCGCCGCCGGCGGCGGCAGCGTGCGGGGCGGCGTCTCCCTCTGGCGCAGCGGCGCCGGCAGAGAGCGATGCGACGAGCGCGGCGAGGGAAGGCTGCGCCTGCATCTCGGGTGAGCTCGGGTGAGCTCGGGCGAGCTCGGGAAAAGCTCGGGCAATCTCGGGTAATCTCGGATAATCTTGGGTGATCACGGGCCATCTTGGGCAATCTCGGGTGATCTCAGTCAATCTCGGTGAATCTCGGGTGATCTCGGGTGATCTCGGGCAAGCTCGGGCGCGAGGGAGGGGTGCTGCGCCTGTAGGTCGGCGACAGAGACGAGGCGGCCCGTCCTCGCGCCGAGGCGGTGTGCGAGGGAGATGAGGTCGAGCGAGTCGAGACCGAGGCCTGCTCGAGAGGGGCCGAGGTGAGGTCGAGAGACTGCCCGAGGTTGCCCGAGGTCGAGCGAGCCGAGAGGAAGGCCTACGGCCAGGCGACGCGAGAGGGCGTCGAGAGGAGGACGTTGAGAGGAGGCCGAGGAGTGGCCCGAGCCGCGCTGCCCTCGAGGCTCAGACTGAGATCGAGCTCGGCCGCAGCGCCGCCCTGCCCCGCGTCGCCGGCGCCTCCAGACAGCCAACCGTCCCGAGATGAGGCGAGATCCCCCGAGATTGCCCGAGGTCAGCGTCGGCGGCGGCGCCTCCGAAGAGCATCTCGCGCACGGTCGCGAGCAGCCACGCCGCAGCCTCGCCCCCCCCCTCATGCACGTCCTCCCCGACCACCACGTGGCCCCGCCCCACCGCCAGCAGCCGGCCCCACTGCTCCGCGGAGAGAGGGCCCCACCAGCCTCGCGCCTACCGCCAGGACCGCCCGAGCGTGCCCCGAGACTGACCCGAGATGTCCCGAGGGGGTCCCTCCCCTCCCCGCCCCC